ATAGCTGGGAAGGAGCGGGGTCAGGACTTCATGTCGCGCTGAAGTAGGGCCTTTCTCATGGGCTCCCAAAGGTTCCTAAATCCAGGTGGATTTAGCCTCACAGCGCCCTGTGAACTAACTGGGAGAGGCACTGGCACCTCCAGCAGCTCCAGGTCCAGGCAGGGGTTTCTCTCCCGTTGCCCGTGCTCCAGGGGGATCGCTCTTCTGCGCGCCGGGAGCGTTTCTAGCCCTAGCTGGCACCTTCCTCTGCGGAGCATCCTGTTCTGAAACGCAGATGGGCAGCGGGCAGCGTGACTGCGGCTTAGCCTCGGCACCTCTCAGCCCGGGGCGGTTTGTGATCTCGTGGAGAGGGACCGGGCCGCCGGGACGCCTGGGATCCGCTCTGGTCTCTGCTCAGCGGGCTGGAGGGGGGGGTTCTTTTTTTTTCCAGTGTCCCTTATACTCTGCGTCTGACTTCGCATGCGGCTGGGGCTCTCTCTTGCACTGCAGATACCCAGGGCCCCGGCACATGGTGCCAGCACGTTAAGCCCCCAAACATTGCTGTGGTGATAGTTACAAAAGCAAAGGGAAGCGGCCAAATACTTCAGTCTGGTGTCTAATTTTGGTGTTTGTGTTTTAAAAACACTTCATTAAGGTAGTTTAGAGGATATGAAAACATTGTTGAAAGAATTGTGTTCCTTTTATTTATTCTTTTAATTAGCTTATTACCTTGTTTCAGACCCTTCCTGAAGCGTGGCTAGATTCATTTATGGTTCTTTCTTTATGTGAGAGGGAGTCCGGGTCCAAATTCCTTGGCGCTGTGATAATACAGGTTGTAGCTGGGTTGCGGGCTAAAGACGGATCAGCTGTGACCACGTTTCCATGAGCAAAGGAAGGTTTGACGCTGTAATTCCCGTTGCTGGGGGAATTTCCCACAGCTTTAACGCAGCTGATGAGGCAGTGATGGTAGGTGTAGTCTAAGCATAACAACATACAACTGTCACTTCAGCCTGCGGTGCTGTGACTGCGCGTTTCTGTTAAGGCGTGAGGAGTAACGCAGGCGGGTGGGTGTGCACGTACACACACACACACACGTTCCACCTTACTTTTCGTTTACGTTTTTCGGCTGGAGTGACTCCTAGTCTGTTTTATTTTTAGTCTTTGTGAGAGCCTATTGCTCTTCTGGATTTCAAGACCTATTTCAAAGTGGTTTCTTAATTCTCCTGGAAAAAGATGATTTTTAAAAGGGAGGATTTATAGTCTATGTGAAAAACACTGCTAGGGGCTTCTTTCCCTTGGCTGCACCTGCTAGCTTGGCACATTTAACATATTCGTAGTCATTAAGCTTTAATTAAATGCTTACTGAGAGCTTTGTGGGTTTTGTGCCTTTGTTAAAATAAGCAACAAAGCTATCATAAATTAAAACCCAAAGCGGTTAGGACCTTAGCAGGCTAAGCCTCTCTGCGTTTGTAGCGTAGTGACCTTTTCTGCATACGGCTACTCTGTTTGCCGTTGCTGCAGCAGAAGTAAAATGGCAGCGGAATATTGAGTCATCCTCTCAGCCCCTTACGAGGCGGAGAACGGATTGTGCGGAAGGGGAAACTAAGGCACAGGGGCGCATGGAAACTCTGCGTCCCAGTGGGATGAGTTTGGGCGGTTATAAAACGCTGGCACCTGGTTCTGCTTCCGTTCCTCAGCACCCGTGCGACCCCTGTGCACCAGTCCGGCGGGGAGGGAGGGGGCCGGAGCATGATTTTAGGGCTCCCAAAGTTAGGCGCCTAGCTCG